ACCATGTCTTCTTGATTGAATGTAAAATAGATGTATCCCATATTCCAAAATTCATCAGGGCTCGAATTGGGAGTTCATCTATCTTGACATAAAGCAAGTGTGTGATATCACCGTATCACTGGCAAAACTTTTGTTTTCTATCAGTTTTACAACTGTCTCAAATGTTCTGAAATTCGTGAGTATCATTCTTTTTAAGGCTGATAGAAGCATAACCAACCAAGTCTGACAAATAGTTATGCAAGACTATCCCCTTTTTCCTTTTTTGTCTTTTCTGACAATAGTTGTACTTCTGCATTTTTGACCTCTTACATTATAACCCCTTTTTCCATTAATGCAAATTGTTTAATTTTTAACGAACACTTTGCGGATCAACACCTCTTTTAATGATGCAAATGAAAAAAAAATGGAAATAAAACAAAAATGAAAAGAAATAAGTTAGAAAAATAGGAATAATAATCAAAATAATAATACAAATTCCTATCCCACGTGATATTTACCCCATATGCTTTTTATTCCTACCCGGACATGATCTTTATCCCACATTTTATTTTCTTGAACAAATCCTAACCGCATACATTTTTAATTCACATGCTTTGAACAAAAATAAAGCAGGAGATAAATCAAACATCATAGGTTTTGAAATGAAGTTTCGGGGTTGGCCTTAATTCCTTGCAACATCACGTTTGGTTCTAAAAGAGGTACTCGAGTTCTCCTTGTGGGTGCCCCCTTAGGCCTGCTAGACCCTCAGACCTAAGCATATCACAGGCTCATGTGAACCGAGTTAAACTCGAGATGACACTTTCCCTTATGTCTGTACGAAAAATAAATTCACACGAAGACATAAGGTATATGAATCCCGAAGGTTACTTGCTAGGCCTATACGGAGAATAAATTCCCACGAAGGTGTCATTTTCCCCCTCACTTAAAAAGGGGTTTGGAGCTCAGGAATAGAGCCTGAGATGAATGCTTTTTTTAAAAAAGCTGAAATCATTAAAAACATCAGTACAACTGTTTATTTGAAAAATAATAATCAAAGGTAAATAACAATGATCGAAAGGATAAATTATAATATAAACTTACAATTTTCTCTTTAAAAAATAACCAAAAATCAATTTTGGTCTTACTCTCTTACCTGTCCCCAGATGCAAGTAAAATAAAACAAAGTTAGGGGTCAATTTGTAAAATATAAGAAAAATAAATGGGGATTAAATTGAATTAATTTAAAATAAATTATGCATCAGAATTATAGGGATTGTAGAAATACTTTAAAATATTACTAATTACCCTTCGGTCCTCCCTATAAATAGTCAAAAATTCCCAAAACAAATACTTCATCCCCCATTTTTAAAAAACACTCTCCTATTTACACAAAATTCTCTCAACCCAAACCCCCAACCGGCCTATGGCCGGCCACATCCTCGCTACCCGGGCCACCGTCGACTGTCACTCCGGCCACCACCACCGGTGGCCAAAAAACTACAAACCTACCCCCAAAGCTTCCTCTCAACGCCCCAAAAAAACTAAAGCCCAAACACCCAAAACATATCCCTACCGGCGTAGATCTAGTAACGAAAGTCTCGGGTTTACCTTTTCCGATGAGCCTTTACGATATTCAGCGACCTTTAGCTTTCCGCGACCATGCTTTCCTTAGTGCAGTCCCAAAACCGGATCCTTGATATATCTTTTTTTTCTATTTTTCTTGTTATTTTGAATGCTTTTTCTGCTTCATTTTTGTTGTTTCGATTGTTTGTTTTTGCTTTGGTTGCTCAGACGATGTACTCTTCACTTCGATAGTTCTCGGGTTTATATAGCCCCTCCCGCCGGTGGTTATTTCTGAGTATCTCGGGGTTGTTTCCTTATTTGTCGATTCATTCGGGTTGTTGCTTCACGTACGGGAAATAGTTGTTCTCGATTTTGCCATGATTTACTTTTGGTTTAGCATGTACCGTTTTCTTCGCCAAGCTTACGGTGCTCCTATTACTTTAAGGTTCATGTAACCCTAACCTCTTCTGGGTCAGGCAGATGGGCTTCCTTGTTGGGATTGGCAGTTGGTCCACTGGGTCAGGTGGGCTTGTTACTATGTTTCCCGGATTTTGACCTTTCCTCTGGACTTTTGAACTCTTTTATTGCACCTAAATAAAAAAAAATTAAATTAAATGAAATTAAAAAAAGATAAGAAAACGGAAAATAAAATATTAATACTAATAATATGTATGTATTAAAAACTATATAATATATATTTATATGTTTTCAAAAACTATATTATATATGTTTCAAAAACTATATATATTATATATTTTTGAAATTACTATATATATATATATATATATTATCATATATACTATATAATGTAATAAAGACCCTTGAAGTCCCGGACGAAAATAAGTGTCTACAGAGTGCTTAAGGTTAATTTAATCGCCTAAATTAAGTTCTAAGTGTAAATGAGATCCTTCATTCATTTAATTTCAGTCATTTCAATTTATTAAGTGTATGCATTGTGTTTTCAAATATGAAATTTCAACATGAATGGAGTGTTCTATTTTGATGTACAAGTTTTGAACAAAACCTATATGAAATTGATATGAACATGTATGAAATAAATCTAGCATTCATTAGCGACATATATGAATATGAAAGCATGTTATATAAATATGATATAAATTATCAATGATAACCGAATATGAAATTAAAATTTTATGTATGAAATATAAAAATGATGCACACCAAATCAGACTTTACATAAGTAAAATAGATTTATTGACCAATTTTTTGAGATCTTTAGACAGGTAAGACATGCCTTAGGATTGAGTATACTCATTATTTTTACACTGTAATGAGTATTATAAGCCTTCGAGATAGATGGATGGATAAATAGATGACTTATGCTACACAATATTTGAGTTGAGCTTGACTATTTGAGTCTATAAAAACTGATAAAAAAAACTATTAAATTTGTATAATAACAGTCATGAAAGTTATAATGTATCTTTCATTACATCCAAAACAAAACACTTTAAACATTAATATTCTATCAATAATTCCCTAAACCAAATCCAAAATAAATCCTAAATATTCTCAGTACAATATGCATTTTCCTTCATTCTTTTCACTTAAATTTTTAACAAGAAACAATCCAACCAACCCCGAAATAAACCCTAAAATAAATAGATAATAAATAATAAATACCGCATTTCTCCAAATAAATACTACCAGTGATTTATCTTTTATATATCAATAAATGATTATCGTTAAAAATAATTATTTATTTAATTTAATTATTTAAAAATATAATTATTTTTGGTAATTTTTATTAATCAATAAATGATTATTGTTAAAAATTAATTAATTATTTAATTTAATTATTTAAAAATATAATTATTTTTGGTGAATTTTATTAATTTAAATTATTATTTTCACTCATGAGGGTGTGATAGAATTTTTAGTAGCTGATTTAAGGAGCAGCAAAAGTGGAAGAAAATAAAATTCCCCTAAGAAAAAATTGAAAAATTTGTTGATGTTTACTAGATATATTCACAATTACCATGTGCGTTGAAAAGAATAAGATATGCATGAAAAAAGTTTAAATTTTTTTAAAAAATATATATATAAATTAATATTATTGTTTTATAATAATGTTATAAATTTAAAATTTTTACAGTTTTCATTGTCATTGAAGATTTTGAATTTATAAAATAAGAGTAATAAGATGATTCATATTTTCGAAAATATATTTTTAAAATTTGGATTATTCTATTATTAATAATAAGAATAAAATCATTATTTCATAAAACCTCAAAAATTAAAAAGTATAACTAAAAGACTCTAATTACACTAAATTCAACATGACACACATATTATGGTTATTACTTAAATATATTACAATTATATAAATATAATTAAATGTATCTAAATTCAATTAGGCGTATATTAACGGTTAAAGAGATGGTTGTTATTTTTCGAAGTCTCAGGTTTGGACATGATGTTTGCAAGGGTGCATGAACATTCAATATTAAAAAATTAAAAAATTTCGAACAAACACTAACTTATAATCACCTCAAATTACTAAAAAACAATTAGGCAATAAGTTTTTAAAAGGCATAATACCAAAATTAGCCCCCAACATTTACCAAAATGATCATTTATCCCTATTCTATTTTATGGAGTGTTTTGGCCCCCAAAATTTCATTTTAGGACAAAAATGCCCGTAATATTTGACAGAATAATCACTTTATCTCTTATTCTTTTTTTCTAGGACATTTTAGCCCTCAACGTTTCATTTTAGGTTAAAAAAGGCTCTTATATTGAAACGTTAATTGTGTGTTAACTAATGGTTTTAATCTATAGTGGGAACTTTGGGGGCAAAGAATGCTCAAAGAAAAGAATAGGGGGCAAAATGACTAATTTAATAAACATTGAGGGCTATTTTTGGCATTATGCCTTTTTAAAATCCACATTATTAATTTTACGTGGAAAATATTCCAAAGGATTGGCGCCGGGAAAACGGGTTAAAGATTGAAGACCCACAAAACGAAATTCACATGCACTCTGTAATATGATGCCACGTGTATGATCCAATGGCTACCAATTTCCCATCCCATAAAAGGCAATTTCATTTTGACCTCCTATCACACCATTACAGCTATTACCGTATCAATATTTGTAATAGTACAGACCAAGCGATCTGGAAAATAAAATAATTATTTGTATTTATTGAGGTTTTAGATACGAGTACTATGAATATTAAAAATATGTGTTTAATGTCATATAGTAGAATTATCTTTGAATATATATTATATTGTACTCCTCCCATATTAATAATTTTTTTTGTAATATCATTTGCACATATTAAAAATAATAATGCATTAATATATATCATTTAATAAATATTAAACAGTTAATACTATTTTCTTTACAACAACAATATAATAATAATAATATTGTTACTTAGGGAAGTTTGTTTCTATAATTAATGCAGAATCTCCATTGCTTCATCTTCATTATTTTGATAAAAAAGAAAGAAAAAAAGAGAACATTCTTCTTCAGACAGACAATTCATAAAATCATCAAAAAAGACCTTTGTGTCTTCTTCTAATTTGGTGTTTACATGAAGAAATAAAGACATGAAGTATTCTTCTTCTTCTTCATCATCATCTTTTCATTATTTTTTGCGAGAGAGATGCCTGAACAAGGGGAGGCTTTCTCCATTTTTCATGTCTTTTGTTCTTGTGACTGTCATTTTCGTACCCTTCATCTTTTATTCTATTAACCATTTGAATCCCATCTCCAAACACGCCCTTGATCAAAAGCTTCCTTTGTTCAAACCTCATCCTAGTAATAGTTTTCGAGGTAAACCCAGAATTTTTCAGTTTTTCATCCTGTAGAATTCTGTATGATTCTGATTTTTGTTATGCTTTTTTGGTGATTTTGTTTAGGTTATGATAATGGGATTTTGAAGAAGTGTGATTTGTTCAAGGGCCATTGGGTGCCGGACCCCCATGGTTCTCGATATACAAACTCTAGTTGCACCTCAATTCCGGATTCAAAGAACTGTTTCCGCCATGGGAGAAGCGACAGAGATTTTCTGAATTGGAGATGGAAACCTGATAAATGTGTTCTTCCAAGGTTTGATCCCAAAACATTCCTGGAATTTGTTAAAGGGAAGAAACTTGGATTCGTTGGCGACTCTGTTGCTAGGAACCACGTTGAATCTCTTCTTTGCCTCCTCTCAAAGGTTCGTTTATTTATTTCTCTGTTCTTTTAAAAACATCATAATTTTCACGCTGACAATTTCACTGGAACATAAATTGTTTTCCCTGATTGAGGTTTGATTCCTTTAAATGTATGAAAACAAAGTACCAAATTGGACATTCAGAGAATTTTCAGTGCATTTGAAGTTAGAATTATGGAAGATGAAGCATCCTTGTTAAAAGGCTCAAAATGCTTTTCTTTTTTCCTTTTTCTGAAAGACAATGTCACTGATTCAGCAATTTAATCAATTAGTAAAGAATCCTTCAAAGAAAAAAACTAATTAGTAAAGAACAATATTATTTACAGATTTCAAGAGTTATTGTTATAAAATCCATGAGATTAATTTAGTTGTTCATATTGACATGGAGTTTATGATCATTGGAACTAGGATTTCAGTACCAACAGTTCATGATTTTAAAATCAAACTGCAAATCTTTTGCAGGTTGAAACTCCCATAGATCAGTACAAAGATTCAGAAGACAGAAACCGGATTTGGTATTTTCCTAATCATGATTTCACTCTTATCAACCTTTGGACCAAATTCCTTGTTCACGATGAAGAAAGAATGATCAATGGTTCATTATCTGGCACTTTCAATATATACCTCAACAAAATCGACGAAGGATGGAGCAAAGAGCTTCCTATTCTAGACTATGTCATAATCTCGGATGCACATTGGTTCTTTCGACAGATTTACCTACACAATAGCACCGGTGTTGTTGCCTGTGTATACTGCAATTCCCCGAACGTGACAGATTACGGTGTTGGGTTCGCCCTGAAGTTGGCACTTCGATCTGCATTGACGCACATCAACAATTGCAAGAACTGCAAAGCAAAGGTCACCTTAGTCCGGACATTTTCGCCAGCACATTTTGAGGATGGGGGATGGAACACAGGGGGAAGATGTAACAGGACAAGCCCTTTGAGTGAATCAGAGATAAACATGAGCGGCCCGGAATGGGAACTGAGGAGCCTGCAAATGGAAGAGATTGAAAAGGCGAGGAAGAAAGGTGGTAAGCTCAGGAAAAGGTTTGGGGTTTTGGACGTAACGAGAGCGATGATGATGAGACCAGATGGTCACCCTGGTGAGTTCTGGGGAAATAAATGGATGAAGGGTTATAATGACTGTGTTCATTGGTGCTTGCCAGGTCCCATTGATGTGTGGAATGATTTTTTTATGGCGGTACTGATAAGAGAAGCTTCATAGTGAAATGGCTTTTACATCCAAAGTAGTTAGGGATCATATACATGATATATTTACATCTAATAATTTGATCTCCATTTTTTATTCATTTCAATTCAATAAAGTAATATATAGTTTCATTGTAATTTAATAGCTGTCAAGTAATGGAAACAGAAGCAATATTCAACTCTTTTGAAACTATCAACTTCAAACAAAAAGTGGAGTTTCTCCTACTTCATGAAGTTTGACAATTCCAGACATTCCAAATTCGAAGAGCTTTTCCCTGCTTCTCCATTGTCTAGAGACCAAAATATTTGTAATACTGACCAAGAAATTGTATCATCATCAACTATGAACCCAAAACTTATTTCACTTGCTTCATGTAGTCATCCTTGAAAGGTGACATTTAATAGGTCTGAAATTCGAGTCCCAACATCTCGCTCCCGTATCGCCAATATATAGTCTCAAATCGAACCGATTTGTAGTTATATCTCCTACTAGTCGGAACCTGGAAAATATAACAGCAATAATGACAAAACTCTTGCAACTTGGGTGTAAACATGGTATGGGTGGGGCATTAATCCAAGTAAGAAAACAATGCAAAACTCCCAAGGAACTTGAAAATGATTATCAAGATGGTCCAGGTCCAAGACAATGTCAGAAAAGAATCGATTTAACAAAAACATTAAGGGAAACGATGAGAAAAAAACACAACACGCAATTATTAGTTTCTTCAAATCATGGAATGCAAAAACATAAACAAAATAACATCAAAATCTTGCAATGAGAGACAGGTTAAGAGAAAATGTGAAAGACTTGATTCTCTAATCCATGAACACTTTCAAGAAGGAAAGGAACTAAAATATCTAAGAGTCAGACAATCTATCCATAGCAAATTGTATCACACTGCAAGTCACTCCACGCTATTCGAATACATTTCCATTAAAAGCGTGTTAGCTGCAGTTGTTGGGTGAGATATGCATAAGTTCAGGATCCCACAACGTGTATGTAGCCAACGAGACATATCATCATGGCTATACATCAGAAGTTAAACTCAGCTCTAAACTTCTAATTAATACTGAACAAGATTACAAAATCATTCAATAAATCTTGTAAGAAAAGGTGTATCTTTGGCTCGGGTTTATCTTCTTTGCTTGGCCAAATAAAAGGATTTATCAATATGTACACTATAGCGGACAAACGACATAGTGATGACATAGACAAATGAACTCCTAACATGTATGAATGGTTAAAATTCTAACCTAAGACGCTAAAAGCAATATATTAGATGCAATCTTGTTAAATCCTCAATTCATAATGTTAAACATCAAAACTGAAAACTCTTAAGCACCCAAAGCCAATTAAGATGGTCTTTTGTTTTGATTTCACATCAAAAAGCAAAGATCATGCAACATACGATTATCTAACTAAGCATTTCCAATATATAGAATCAAAAGACCAATAGATCCAGGCAAAAAGCATAGATGTCGATAAACAAAAATCTCATATAATGATTCTAGTACAAATAAAGAACACATGCTAAGTAGAACACAAGATTGTTTTAAAGACTGATTAGATACTTTAGCATTCACATGCAGCAGTAAAACCATCATTTTGTCACAATTATCAAATGGTAAATAACACAATCAAATTCCATGCTGCTCTTTATAACTTCTGAAATCCAAATTATAATGTTTGGCGGTGAATATATGTATATAACCACATGTTTTCAGACATCTAAACCAAGATAGCACGCCAATAAAAGCCAAGATACAAATAAATTTTCGCCAAATCCAGTACATAATATAGTTACATCAAGGTTAAATATATACTCATTAATGTCAGAAGCGATACTCATATAGAAGAGATTATGCAATAGAGACAACTAAAAACTCATTAAAGTGACGAGATTCCTTACAATAGTCACAAGTCATCTAAACATAAAGAAATGGATATAAGATTGACAAGAAGTTAAAGGCAATCCCTTTTTATCCTAAGTCAATGGAGAACCTTGATTATTTAATGCTATAACATACTCTGAACAAGAAAAAAAAAGGTTTCAATCGAGCATCAATCATTCATAATTAAATTATAAAACCTACATTAACGACATATGTAAGCAGATTCTGAAATTGCAACAAAAAAGCAAGAACTAACGTTGTCATTAACGACCTTCAGATTTCATGCCTCTACTGTATTTCCAAATCCAAACGAGAAATGTTCACGAACAGGTGAAAACTCCACCAATCCAATATCCATTGCATACCCAGAAACAGGTAATTTCAGCTCTCTCAATACACAGAATGCCTCCGCCATTCTTGTTTTTGACACCTCTTGAGCTACAGCACAATAGGGAATCCAAGCGTCAGCTTTGAACTTTTCTCCAATTTCAATCCCTTCCTTTTTAATAGCCTCACATAACTGAGCCTGGAACAGTAGAAGGGGTATTGTTGGAGCTGGTGCAAGAAAAAGAAGATTTTTTCCATTTGGGAAAGTCCCAATGGAGGATAAAGATAGAGCTAAAGGTTCTTGCTTTGAAACAAATGACTTTACGACAGATTCAAGCCTGGCAGGGTCAAGAAAAGGGCTTGAGAAAAGGGTAATGTGAGGTCTGGACTCAATTTCAATTAACTGAGTGCTGATTTGCCGACGAGCCAAAATATTCCAAGCTTTCAACAATTGGTTTTCAAGTGCTGGGTCGAAGTAAAGCGCAATCGAAAAGCCTTGTGACATTGAAAATTTGGGGGGGAAAAAGAAACCCAAATTTTGAATGGAGATCTAAGAGTACCCAGGTGATGAAAAATTGAACTTTATGATCAAGAAAGGGAAAAGGATTCAAAACCCCCGAAAGAACACGGGAAATGAAAGATACCCAGGTTTTGGTGCTCTGAAAGCCAAAGGAGGAAAAAATGGGGGATTTTTGTGGTTTTCTCAAACAACCAGACAATAAGAGAGAAGTATAATTTCCTTTGGCAATTTCAAAGTTAAAATTTAATATAGAAAAAGCTATTAAGGGGGATTTTGTTGAAAATCACTAAATTATAAGGGTGATCAAAAAATTTCATCAGCAAACTAAAAATGATGTTAATTAGATTATTTAATTACAGTTAAAAAATTAATTAATAATTTAATTAATATTATTTAAATGATGTGATTTATAACTTTTTAATTAAGTGACCAAAATAAAATAACTCCTATAATTTAGTTAATATACTTGTATTTTACCCTTAACATTATAGAATAAATATTTTAATATTTCTTTTATATTTTAATATTTTAATAATTTATTGATTATAATTTTTTGTTTAAAAATCAATTAAGTGATCGAACTTGTTAAAATATTAATTAATTTCTTTTATCATGTCATCACTCATGTAGATCACTATGTGAGTACTGTAACAATCAATGACAAGTTTCGTTGATCCAACGGTGTAACACCCACATGCCGATGCGGGTGACACAATTCTATCTGAGGTGTCACATTAGTGCCACCGGAGCGACCCACAATAAAAATCCAATGACAATTTAAAATTCATGTTAAAACGTGTAAAATCATAAATAAGTTATAAATAAAATACTAGTTCAGAAAATCATTCATATATTACAAACGTAATTAAAATCATATAAGTTCATACTCATTATAAAAATAAAATGTGGCATGCATGCCCCCTAATTAAACTTGTACTGTACTTTTCAACCCAAGCCAATGGAACTCCCATTACAGAAATCAATAGCGGTACTGGATCAATTTTTTTAACCTGAAATGAAGAGTAAAAGAGTGAGCTTTGGGAAGCTTAGTAATACAGAACTACCAAGTGATGGTGAAGGACATCCAGATAATAAACAAGCATACAAATTTTACTTATTGATTCAGACGTCTACAGGTTTTCAGGATGAGCTGAGGTTCCACTGATATTTCTTCGAGTAAAAGACATGAAGATTTCAGTTCAGAGGAAATATTCAGAGGACCAAGTTCATGAGATCGAAATAGGATGTCTAGTGTATTACAACCAAAATAAGTGAAAAGATACATATCTTTTTAAAATGAGAAAATAACTTCAGTGACCGATGCACTTCAAGAATATTCACACTTTAATACTGATATCACTAGCCGAACTTATCATCTTCTGAATCATCGTTGAACAAATATTTCGGTGGTGTTTAATTTATTCATGGATTGTAACAATATCCACTTATTTTAAATCGTCAGAAAAATGGGTCGCTTCAACAATCGAGGTTAATTCAATCATCTTAGACTTCAAGGTATTCTGGTTCATTTAGAGTTTAGGGTATTTTTGTCATTTGAACATTGGAGGTTATTTTTGTTATTTCATAGCTCTGGATATTTCAGTAATTATGATCAATCCAAACATATGTACCTTTTTCTGGTAATTTGGTTCAGATATATCCGTTTCAGCGTTATTTTTTCGCTTTTAGGGGTAATCTTGGTCTTTTAGCAGTGCAAGGGCATTTTGGTCAAATTACAATTCAAGAGTATTCCAATCATTTCCTTCCATCCAACGTTTCCATTTAATTCATTTTTTCTGAATAATTCAAACATGAATAGCACTTCCAATATTTTAGTCATTAAGTGCTTGTTGATAAATCAACAATTATAGGTCTTGTACCTTCTCAAATGTTAGGATATGCTTATCAGTGACTATACGAGTAAATCGAGAATTTAACAGATGAAACAATGATTTATCGAATTAAAATACAAATTCTTAAGGTACTTTCACTCTCAGGTCAGTCCGAGCCATTTTTACCTCATAAGGGCAATTTTGTAATTTTATACTCAGGTAATTTCAGTTTTAAAGCTTTTAGCGATGATAAATAGAATTTAGAGATTATGAGGTTATTTTCTCTTCAGACTAATCACTTTACTTGAAATCATTTCTTATCAGTCTTTCAATTCTTTTATGTAATTCAATCGATTCTTAACCAATTTATCAATTAAACCGTATTTGGTTTGAGTCCATCCATAACCAAACATGCATAATAGACCAATCATATACATCCATGCATTTATCCATTATCAACATGTTTCATAAAACATGCAAAGAGGTAATAAAATATTACCTTGATTTTTGTGCTCTACCAATTGAACATTTAAACTCTATTCGATCACTCTCGAACTTGAATCCAACGTCTAATAATTTTTCGGATACATATCAAATGAATTTACGTTAGAAAATGAACTTAATCAAAAAAACCAATTTGAATCCGAAGATAAAACATTGAAAAATGGCTTACCAAGTGTGAATTTGGCAAAACAGACTTTGCATTTAGACTCAAGATGTTGAAAAACATAAAAAATAACTTTTCAAAATTTTTTACTTTTTGGTCAAATTCATGGTCAAAGTCAACGAGTTAAAGGCAACAAGTCAAAGTCAACGGGTTGACTTGGACGAGTTGACTCAGTTCGAGTTGACTTGGTCGGGTTAAATAGACCATGTTGAGACCGGGTTGGCAGATTCAGGCCGGTCCAGACCGACTGGATCGGTTCTAGAAGGTTTCCAGGGCAAGGGAAGAAGCCCACGTGCACGCAGAGGCGAGTGGCAGTAACGACGGCCTCGGGGTGATGGTCGATTCTTTCGAGAGGATCTACACATCATTTGCAACCAAAAATTTCACCACAAACAACCATCAATCATACCAAATAACTGGAAATAGAATCGAACTTACCCAATGACAGTCTGCCGAGAAAACTACGACGATGCGGCGGTGAGGGGATAAGTGAGGCAGCCGAATTTCGCGAAAAAATAGAGCGACGAGACTAGGGATTCAACGGAGCTTTAAGCGCTGATTCGCACCGATTGACATTGATTCGTGATTCAACGGGGCTTGGATCTTAGTCTCCGGTCGATGACGAGTGGAACAAGGTAGTAGAGGATCGAACGGTGGCCGTACGGTGAAGATTATAAGGCCGATTGGGTGGGAGACGAACTGGTATATAATTTGGGGATAATTGGGGTTTTGCTTGCTCGATCGTGGGTTTATTTTTCACTGACCAGAATAAATGGTAAAATTCAGAGTTAAGTTCCTGAACTTCCACATGTTCCAAAACTGAGCTGTAAACTTTTAAAAATTATAATTTGATCCTCAATTCTCTTTTAATTAAATTTTGGGGTATTATAGATAACATTGATGTAAACTACAAAGTTTGAAGGCTAAATTAATAAAATTAAAAAGGATAGAATAATATTATTAATTTTGACCGATTACAAGAGTAAAATTATCCATTAAGCCCATAAAAATATTCGAAAGATAAATAAATATGTATGGATCAAATATATAAATAACTTAAAATTTATATATGTTAGCTCGATTGATCAATCAAAATATATCAAGATGTAGGGTGAATGGGTAAATTGACTCTTTAAAGTGTTTTTGGAAGCACTCAAAAGATAAAAAAAATTTCAAAATAATTTATATTGGTTTGACTTCTAAACCATATCTACATCCACCACTTTAGCTACTCATACTAAAGGTTTCTCGAATCCACTTAAGCCCATAAAAATATCCAAAAAATAAATAAATATGCATTTATCAAATAAATAAATAATTTAAAATTTATATATTTTAGCTCGATTAATCAATCAAAATATATCAAGATGTAGGGTGAATGGGTGAATTGACTCTTTAAAGTTTTTTGGTGGAAGCACTCAAAAGATAAAAAAATTTACAAAATAATTTATAGTGGTTCAACTTCTAAACCATATATACATCAACCACTTTAACTACTCACACTAAAGGTTTCTCAAATCCACTAGATTTACTTACCTTTAAAGATAAGATGTAACCTAGTAATTTCTCTCAAGATTTATACTCAAAATCTTGTATACATTATCTTGTACATAGTAATTATAATTTTAGTAAACAAAAGAAAATATTAGGCAAGTATACTTACACAAATTAAACACTCACCCAAAAATTATTTGAACAACATTGACAATAAAGTTCGCAAGTGTTATACAATGAAAAATAATCAACTAAACTTCTTAATCTTGATATATGCTTTCAATAATCTTTCTTCATGTTATAAAGATTCTTTGAGCTTATTTTCATATCTTCTATATGAGTGCTAGTCGTTAAGTCATTAGGGATAAGATAGAGTCATTATCTATAAAGATACAGAGCATTTTTGTCACGAGAGATCCTTCTTTCAATTTTTGCTCGATTCTATCTAAAAGATCTATCTTTCGAGGAAAGATATTTAAAAATGATCGTGAATGAATTTAAAAAGATTTGGCTAAGTTTGAAACATATTTAAAACTTATTTTTAATTTTTTGTTTGGACTTTGAATTACTTTTAAGTATTTGACAAATTTGATTAAATTTAATATCATTTTTATAATTATTTATTATATCAAAATATAAATTTAAAAATCTCTCATTTTTATATAACAAAACTCTTTTAAAAAATTATTTTTGATAAATGACCCCCTTAGTAAATAAATTTTTAATTAGTGAAATGATTTGAAATTTTTTTGATAAAGAATGGCAATGGAGTTATGAACATTGCTCTTCGTTGAAGAATCAAACCTAGAAAGATCTAGACTGGATCAAAGAATGAAGGGGAAAGAGATGGAGGGGTAGTGGTAATTAAGGTTTTTAGGGTTTGCTGGAAATTGAATAAGAAGAATAAAATAAAAAAAATAAAGATAAAATAAAGATAAAGAAAATAATAATAATAATAATAATAATAATAATAATAATAATATGATAGGAATAACTTGGCCAAGTTAGGGTTTTGTTGGTGATGGACAAGAATGGTAATTCGATGATGATGATGATTGATAGATAATTATCCTACAAACCCTCCTAGCCGTAATTGACTAGGAAAACTTGATAATCGGCTCTAACCAGCCCTTCTAATCGTAATGAGAAGGCAAACCAGAGTGTGAATATCTCCCTCACAAAGAACTTGAAAGAACTTAAAGATGAAGAATACTTCGAAGGCACAAGGCAATCAACACTTGCAAAAACG